GAGGAGCGCGTAGTGGTTAAGGGGAGCCCCCCAGCTGCCCCCTTTGCAGCCTCCTCCTGAGCCCCTTTCGGTAGCGGGGGCTCCAGGTTCCTGGGTGGCGTTGTTGTTAGTAAGCGATGATGCTCTGCAAAAGTGGGCGTCTGTTGATTTCTCAACCTGAAATCCCCATCACAAAGCACTTCTTATCATTTAGGACAACGAACGGTACTCTGGGTGCTTTCTCTAGGCAAGCCTTTCCCAACCTGGACTTCTCCGAATGTGACTTCAGTTCCCAGAATTCCCAGCCTGGCTTGGGGACTGAAATCCCAGCACGTCTTGAGGGTGCCATGTTGTGAGAGCTTGGGCTATCCCGAGGATGAATTCCCCTCAGTCTAGGTCTGTAAGGTGATTTGAGGGGTAGGGTTGCTTGGACTATGATGGAGATGTTTAAACTTCTGTGGGAATCAGGCTTCTTAGCAAAGGTGAATTTTGAAGAAAGAAAGGTGAATGAAAGAGCCGGGTGGTGAAATGCCACTTGGATGACCAGGGTACCCCTGGGTAGTGTGACAAGACAGTATGGGCTATGTTTCGAGTTCTCACAGAAATATAACATCCAGGTGGATTATTCGGTAGAATTTATACTCTGTAGCATAACTTGTTTTCCACCGGGTTGTGGCATCTGTTGATACTCCCGATGCACCTCTCCAAAGTTGAAGACAAAAAACGCCACCTAGAGTCACTTGTATGGTGAGATGAGTGGCATATATAAATTTGAAAAATAAATAAAATAAATAAAATGTTTACATCTGGTTATTAGCATATTGTTCATGAATATCATACGGGGGCAATGTGGCTAATGGTTATTTTAGTGGAATTATAGTGGCTAATTTATGGTTGTTGGTGTCCTTACCAAGGGGTAAAAAGCCAATTAAATCTTTTTTAAAATCTAAACGTGTTCAGATTGAGGCTTAAGTCAGATTTCTTTTAGTGTGCTCTGGGATTTGATGTTGTAGTATAGACAAAATGGATTGTGATAACCTGGGCTTTTGGGTGACTACTTGCCATTACTATTACCAAAACTCTGTCTTAGTATATATGTGGGGGGGAAATTGAGAGTGCTATGTATGCTGCCTTGAACTCCTGAAATAAATTTCAGCAGGATATAAATGCAACAAATAGATAAAGGCAAACATATTGAAATTTTACTAGATATGACAATTCTGATTTTCATTTTGTATAAATCAGCCTTGTTGTCTTAGTTCCTATGGCATTTCTTCATTTTGCTAATGTATCTAATGATTTTTCTTTGTTTGGACTCCTGTAGATGAAGTATTGTTACTTAAAGAACATCAAATACATGTATATAATTTGTCTGAAAAGTTTTGCTACTCAAATAAAGTGATCCCAAAATGGCATGATATATGGACCAAAATTCAGGTAAGAAGTGGATTACCTTTTTTTTTTTTTTGGCAACTGAGGTGAATCTTAGCTAATTTTCACGTCTGCATATGTCTCACAAAATTAAAGGGAATAACTATAGATTCTGTAAATGTATCCAAAGTAGCTCCAATAGAGATTTCATTAAAACCCTCATTATCTTTAGTTTCCTACATCTTTCTAGTTTGGAGCGTGTAGAAGGTGAAAGGCAAATTATAAATTCAGAGATGTGTGCTGAATTGCTAAGGGATCCGACTTTCTGTGTTATTATCATTGTGTTTATGAGAATGCAGCTGCTCAGATAGCTGTTGTCTTTCTCCTTGACTTCTCAAGCTATTCCATTAGATGCAGTCAGTTTATATACATTTAGGAAAAACTTTAATCCAAAAATATCTCAGTGTTATAGAATTATATTCCATTCAAGCAAACTTTGAAGAAAAAGATCGGGGACAGTCAAGAACAAGATCATATTCTGTAGCTTAGTAATGTTGCAGCAGCACATTGTAGTTGCACATACAGGCTATGTATTAACCTATATCTGTGCTAGAAGTTGGGAATGGAACTGGGTCAGATTGTATTAGTAGGCAATTTCCTCCTCCGTAAGATCTCTTTCGGATGTTTGTTGTACTTCTCAGTTGATTTCACAATGAAATTTAATATCTGTCTCCTTTCTTATCACGGAATTAAATGTGCTTTTTCTCTATAAATAAGATGCTTGTTCAAGATGCTAAGCTTTTTCAAATTTCATTTGGCAGTTTTTCAAAAGCTCTATTCTTTAGCACTTTCCCCTGAAACCAGTCATTATACAGTCAGGTCCAGAAATATTGGGACATCGACACAATTCTAACAT